TAAATATAAGAGAAACATTTAAAAAAAAATGATGTATATGTTTTCTTGTGTCCTGAAACAGTACCTTCTCCCCCTAATCCTGATGGATACCTGCCATTCAAACTAACAACAGTAGTCAACCCGTAAGTGCAATTATTTAGCTGTAAATTTATATAACTTTTCAAGATGTTATCAAATTTACCCTGAGGTATTAATAAAGAAACCTTGAAGATACGATATACTAAAGCATAATTTTATAAACACACAGTCACAGAGCCGTTATGTTAAAACAACTCCGGGTTTATAAAGAGAACTGTTTCTACATAAAGTATGACAGAAAAATGTATTCAAGTCATTTAACTGTTACTGTTATAGGCATTGACAATATCTGTCACATAATTGTATTTTTTCTTTTGATGTTCAGAGGAGACCAGGGTTCCTCCACTGCCAGCATACCACCAGACACTCCTATGGATATTTACGGGCAATCTATGAGCAATGTCTATGGGTCAAACATGTGCGTATTAATTATTATTTAAGCCACAGATATACACACTGTCACAGTATTTTACAAGTCTTTATTATGTGGCATATAAAATACGTCTTTTCCCTCCACAGGAATCAGGGCATGTTCTCCCCGTAAGTATAATTATACTTTGGCTTTGGTAAAGTTAATTCACATTCACATCTATCTGCTCATATGGAAAAAGTAGGACAGGAGATGCACTATGCTGGTTAAATTTCTTGATCAGAGGGCATTATTGTAAAATGAGCCATCGATCATCGGTTGCCTTTTGAGGCAACATCCTAAGCAAAATAGTCTCTTGAAACACTGATAATTGACACATTAAGTACACAAGACAATCTTCTACAGTCGACACTAGTCGCTGATTCCAGTAAAGTCAGACATTAGCACATGTCGCTAAGCTAACATTGCAATATTCCAAGCCTCAAAAAATGTTGAGTGAAATAGTCCAAGATTTTTTTAATGCTTTTGAAAATAAAAGTCTTGTATGCTCACTAAGGTTAAAGTTAAATCAGTAATATTGTGAAATGTTATTACAATTTAAAATAGCCGTTTAATCATTCAAATTTTAGGTACAATTATTTTGATGTGTGTTAAAATAGAATTTATTCCTGTGATGGCAAAGCTGAATTTCTATCATCATTATTTTAGTCTTTAGTGTCACATGATCCTTCAGAAATCATTCTAATATGCTGATTTGCTACTCAAATAATATTTCTGAAAACTGCTTAATAGTTTTGTGAAAATGAATTTTTTTTTTTAGGATTCTTTGATGAATAGAAAGTTGAAAATTATTATTATAATTAAAATAAAAATAATTATTATAATTAACTCAATTTAAAATAGCCGTTTAATCATTCAAATTTTAGGTACAATTATTTTGATGTGTGTTAAAATAGAATTTATTCCTGTGATGGCAAAGCTGAATTTCTATCATCATTATTTTAGTCTTTAGTGTCACATGATCCTTCAGAAATCATTCTAATATGCTGATTTGCTACTCAAATAATATTTCTGAAAACTGCTTAATAGTTTTGTGGAAATGAATTTTTTTTTTTAGGATTCTTTGATGAATAGAAAGTTGAAAATTATTATTATAAAATTGTCTTAACTGGAACTTTTGATCAATTTAATGCATCTTGCTGAATAAAAGTATTAATTTCTTACTGATTATGTCTTTTTATAATTAACATTTTTCTTGGCTCTGTCTGCCATCTTGAATGATAATTTTCACTGAGCCTTAGCAGTGCAAGTGGCTTAACCACTGAGGGCACATGTGATAACATAGTTTGAGTTAGCTATCTAGGTAGGCAGCTCACTAGAATTTAGAGCAATAGCACCTAAGTAAATGACTGTTTAACCACTGACTGTTGTGATTCTGTTGCCCTATCCTAGACTTCCTCAGTCTACACCCCCATATATGCCAGAGCAAATACCTGTTCAAGGACCACTCTACCAATCACCCATGTGAGTCACAGCCACAGTAAGGTTTCCTGTCAATTCCTAGGGTATATTTGATGTATCAGCGTCACTTTCTGTTGACACACTCGCACATCTGTTCTTTATTACCATTCTCAACTTTGTTTATTCTTTAACAGGCCACAAACTCCCTCAAGTGAAGAAATAGATATGGAGGCACTGGAGGGAATTTTGTCATCAATTTGTCAAAATACTAACAAAGATCTTCATTAGAGGTACAGACCCTCTGTTCTTCTTGGACAAAGGCTATTGGATGGCTTGATGCTCTTAAGGACATCCAGCACAACTCGCACATCCCAAAGGACAAATTACCCATTTGTTCCCAAAACAAGTGTATCAGTAGGAATGCACTTTTCTTAAATTCATTTCCATGAATTATTGAGAGGTGAATGTTTTCATCACATGGATTGTTTTTCAACTCAACGTCACACTCGCTTTCTCCTGCATAAACACACTAAACGTGCAGTTTAAAGGAACAGTGCGTTTCACTCAATCATAGTAAATGTTTGCTAGCAACTTTTTAATGAAAGCAGGTGAACCTCTGGCAAAAAGAGTCTTATTAGCATGCAGTACATAAACTCACAAGTCGTTCCCTGTTTCGGTCTCATGACTGCTCTTGAAAGTAGCATTATAACTGACAAGTGAAACAGGAAATTATTTGCTATCAGGGGATTTTATCAAGAGAGACCTGATAGATTTAACATAATACACATTTTTGTCTGCCAGAAGATTTTTTTCCTTTACATATGATGCAGAAAAACATATCCAGGGACCAGAGTAGATTAGTGATATTTTACTCGCAATGTCCTGAATGAAATGTATTGTCTGCAGATGCAGACAATGATTTGGTGAGGTGAGCATACTTTTAGATCTTTTAGAAATGATAGGTTTTATTAAACTCTATGCAAATGTTTTGTGCCAAATTCCATATAGACAGTTTTTTATTTGGTTGTTTGATTTGCATGACTTGTGTGATCGCATATTCAATATTCAGTATTCGTCTACAGTCAGGTTTGGTCAGTAAAGCTAAAATTAAAGTTTTTTAAAATTATATATCAATAGCGAGTTTTGCTTTACTATGCCATGTATCATTTGTTCCTCCAGTTGCACAAAATTAGCTTTTTTCAATTACACAATGGGTATAAATCATGTAAAATACATATCATGTGCACAAGATAACAGTAAGGTTTTTTGCCAGATGTAGACATAATTCTGTCTCTGCGTACTCTACAGTGTTCTGTGTGCACCTTTTCTGTGTTTAGTCTTTAGTGCTACAAGATGTCAACGTTTTTAAAATGGAAATGTAATATACAGTTTCTCTTCCATAAACTGATTTTTCCCGTCCAAAAATACTGTTCTATATCTTGAAAAATATAAAGCTTTCATCTTAGTGCTTTGAATATGAAAATATATCAAATGGGATGTTTTTCAAAGGTGCCATCAGTAACTGTCTGTATGTATTTAGTCTAGAAGGGGAGTACCGCGCAGTTTTGTTTCTGTTGTCTATTCAGATGTTCTTTCTGTATCACTAACTGATGAATGTGCTAGATATGCACCTGCCTGATCAATACCCGGAAATCTTGCGGTCACAGAGGAGTATAAAGCACTTACTAAATTTTTCTTTTTTAATACACGTGACCAAATTTGTAAAGCAGGTATATAAGAATGTTTTTAAAGAAATGTTCATATTTCAATGTTTTAAATCTGATAAATAAAGTCAAAATCCATTTATGACAGATTCTCTTGCCTGAGTATTAAATAGTTAAAGGTGGCATATCATGAAAATCTGACTTTTCCAGATTTTAAGTGCTATAATCAGGTCCCCGGTGTATCTACCAACCAAGGAAACGTGAAAGAGATTAACCCAGTAACTTTGTTTTGGTAAGCCTTTTTCTACAAGCATCTGAGAAAACTATAGCTTCTGATTTCGCTCCCTTGGTGACGTGGCAAAGGGATCTCATTATAATATTACCGCCCCTTCATCTGTAAGTTTCCACCCACGGTGCCATCATTTTGATTTTGCAAGCGACAAAGGTGTACTAGTTCGCGGTGTACAACGCCATGGCAAAAGTTTGAGCAAAACACGCCAACTGTTCTGTCTTTGGCTACACAGACGAGCACAGAACACTATTAGAGTCCCAGCCTCAGAAGAGACAACAGAGCAGTGGATTTATTGATTCATTTACTGTTTATTGCTGCTGCCACACAGATCTAAAATAAACATGCAATTTATTTCCCAGCTGTTTATCTTCACAGACATAACCGACTGTTTTTGTAACTCGTGTGTTTTTAACGTAAACGTGTGTGTGAATGAGAACTTAGTTTAGAACTCGCATGCTGCGACAGCCGCTTTCTGTCTGTTTGCTTCGGATGTGTGCGCTCAGAAAACCATATATCTGAAGTTTAAACTCATATGGTTTAAAACGCATGATTTCAGCGGGACAAACATGATAATCAGAACCAAAACAGATGTTTTTTAGCAGATATGAGCTGTAATGGCCTCTATTCTGGAAAAGGGGGCGGGGAGCAGCAGCTCATTTGCATTTAAAGACACAGGCCCGAAAAACAGCTGTTTCTGCTTCCACTCAAAATAGGCATTTTCAAAATTATATAATAAATTATCTGTGGGGTATTTTGAGCTGAAACTTCACGGACACATTCTGGGGACACCAGAGACACATATTGTAAAAAGGGCATAATATATGTCTCCTTTAAGGATTTGTCCAGAATATATGATTATCTCACATTTCTTTAGATTAAAAAAGTAACAATTAACAAATGGAAGTGTTAATTTAGAGATGATAAAAAATGACAATTGTTAATGATATTTAAGCACTGTGGCATTATTTCACACTCCAGAGTCCTCATCGAACTACCAAATAAGAGGCATTCACTAACTTGAAATGATTATACTCAGCTAGCTTTAACAGTCATTTGAGAGAAAAAAAGAAAAGCAAATCTTAACAATTTACACAAGACTTTGAGCACAAAATGATGTCTAATTTTCACGTAAACATTGACGTTTATATGTAGAGTCCATTTAATTAAATGGCTTCAAAAAGAGTTTGCTTACAGAGCCCAATGGTGAGGTTTGAAGATCTTTCATGTGACTCTGGTCTTCCTTCAGTCAGATCTTGGATAAGAAGACACTAGTGGAAAGAGTGCAGAGAGACAAAGGGTGGGTGTAGCCATCGCCTTTTCATTCCATCAGATCCAATTGCTACAAGAACATGAATGTGCATTTAAATCCAGTTGCTCAGCAATCATCTAATCCAAGGGAAAGAGTTGACTGAATTACCTTCGCAAATCCCTCTTCAACCGTGTAAAACAGGAATAGCCATTGTATCATAATGCGTCCAGGATGTTTGGAACCAGGTCTACTCATATTAGTGGTTTCAAATTTCTTTTACAATGAATTAGATGTATATTATCTTGCCTGAGACAAAATACCATTGCTTTTGTCTAATTAAACTATTTACACACAAAATAATGCCAAACCTACGGTGGCCGAGAGAGCTCAACGTGCTGCAAATGAAAAAACACCTGCAAATTAAGAAAACATCATCAATTTGACAACACGCTCTAAAAAGAAACGCGCTTCCCTTAAACATTTCCGATGTGGTCTGTGCATATTTGCAGCGCATTTCTGTTTTTGTTTGTTTGTTTTGTATTTACAGCGTGTTTCTATTTGTTTGTGTTGTGAGAATTTGCAGCGCATTTCTGTATTTGGTTGTTGAGAGAATTTGCAGTGCGTGTTGTCAAATTGATGATGTTTTCTCTATTTGCATGTGTTTTTTCATTTGCAGCGCGTTGAGCTCTCTCGGCCACCGTACAAACCCCCTAATCTAAACAAGACATCTATGCATGCATTTATGGCAGAAAAAGTTCAATGAAAATGCCTGAAACTGTATGAATCAGTGAAAATGTACTCAATACTTTTGGAAGTATAAAATCAAGTTCTGAAAATGACACGACGGGAAGAAAATGAAGTGCTTTTATCAGGTAAAAGCTAAAAGGTAGGGTATCACAATAGTTGTGTTTTGTGTGTTTATTATTTTATATGAATGATGGTGTGACTGTGCTTCTTTTAAAGAAACACATGCTGGGCCATTAGGCCACAGTTAAACAATACAACAGTTTGAAGCAGACTCAAAGAGGGATCCAAATTCCCAAAGGATTTATAAAGCTTTTAGTCGTGAATTAACATTCACCTAAACCAAGGTTCAAAGGAATGTTTCCTTCATTCTGGGAGATAGAAAAAAGAACATCGCATGAATACAAACACATGGCGAATGGTGGAAATGGAAGAGCCAAACTGGAAACTCTCGGAAAACACACACACACCACGCACAACTGAATAATGTCGACGGTAAGTAGAATGTAAAGAAATCGGTTGCAAAATGCTAATAATATAGTACATGTGTCACATCTGAAAAATCATAGAAAAAATAAACTGAAATGAATGTGTGAGATTTAAACCCTGTGAAACTGGAAAGCATGCAGAAGTCCACTTCTAGTGTATTTCACTCTTAGTAGACTAGAAACGACAGAGGTGCCCCTGAGTGGCGTTAGCCACCTGATCTCGCTCCCTATACCTGGCGGTACAGAGTCCACAACAGGAAGTCCTCTTCTTACCCTCATTCATAGTCCTTGGGAAGGGGTTATAGAGTCTCAATTGCCTTTGGAAGTGTGTGTGATTCTCCCTTCAGCAAACTCGGTTGGCATGTAAGAGGTGTGTGAGGATGAGGTGTCAGAAATGATCGTACGTATGTATGTGTCGCGTCAGGGATCCAAAGTTTCCTGGCCGTGTTTATAAGGCTTGTGTTTTGAGCTCAATCGGTTCCCCTCGGGTCTCCTGCTGGGCTTCGGCCTCGGGAGGTCTGTTGCCCTTGAGGACAGCCAGTCTCTCTGACAGACCGCGCATCCGGGGAAAGAGCATGAAGTCGTAGAGCAGAGCGCCCATAGCACTGCCGATCATAGGGCCCACCCAGTACACCTACCGGAAAGTGAGAGAGAACAGATAGAAAATCTTACATTTATGAATTAGCAAAATGTTCCTTCATCTGAATACAATGGAAATGTGCCTCACCCAATGGTTAATAAAGTTCCTGAAAAGTACAGCAGGGGCAAAAGACCTGGCAGGGTTCATTCCAGCTCCAGTGTAATACATCTGCAAAGCGATTCATGTCAAGTCAAGTCAAATTTATTTGTATAGCACTTTTCACAATACACATAGTTTCAAAGCAGCTTAGCAGATTAGAGCTGGTCGATAATGTAGTTTACTTTTTGCAATGATACAAGCAATCAAGCAGTTGAGATGTGCTATATAATATATTTCACAATACTGTATTCAGAGTATATATAAACCAAAGTTAGTCATACTTATATATCCAAATTCATAGATTTTTTTAATTTATAAGGAGCCAGGCAATAATATAGTTACATTTTGCAATAAATAAATAATAATCAAGAACATTTAAAAAAAAAAAATTTTCAAAGATGTCATTAAACAAACTCTACAGTATTTATGCTACTTGAAGAGATAGTTCACCCCCCCCTGGCAGGGTTCATTCCAGCTCCAGTGTAATACATCTGCAAAGCGATTCATGTCAAGTCAAGTCAAATTTATTTGTATAGCACTTTTCACAATACACATAGTTTCAAAGCAGCTTAGCAGATTAGAGCTGGTCGATAATGTAGTTTACTTTTTGCAATGATACAAGCAATCAAGCAGTTGAGATGTGCTATATAATATATTTCACAATACTGTATTCAGAGTATATATAAACCAAAGTTAGTCATACTTATATATCCAAATTCATAGATTTTTTTAATTTATAAGGAGCCAGGCAATAATATAGTTACATTTTGCAATAAATAAATAATAATCAAGAACATTTAAAAAAAAAAAAATTCAAAGATGTCATTAAACAAACTCTACAGTATTTATGCTACTTGAAGAGATAGTTCACCCCCAAAAAAATTTATTGTCATCATTTATTCACCAACATGTCATTCCAAACCTGAATGACTTCTTCTGTAGAACACAAAAGGAGATATTTTGAAGAATTTTCAGACATTTTTGTCCATACAATAAAAGCAACAAAACAACACTGACTGGACCCCACTGACTTTAATTGTATGCACACAAAAAAGATAATATTTAATATCTCCTTTGTGTTACACAGAATAAAGAACGTCAAACAGGTTTATAATAACATGATGGTGAATAAATGATGGAATTTCCATTTTTAGGTGAACTATCTATTTAAAACAGCTAGTTACTTAATGTTTGGCCAAGTGTTTGTTCCACATGTTAGGCAAATACATTTTTCTATGTAGTCTATTTCATCTGAAGAACTTCTGCAGCAGTGTTTATTTGCAGGAGTTTTTGTTGACATTTTAGTGCATGGTAAAATCTGGGCCAATAGAAAACCATTGATTTTAAGACTGAATCTTAGTCCTTGTGAATGGCGTCTTACCCCCAGCAGGTGCCCCACAAGCACTGAGAAGCCGATGGACAGGGCAGCGGACCCCAGTCGTCCATTTCGCCTCTCATCCGTCACAGCGAAGACCACAACCACGAGTTGCAGAGTCAGGAATATCTCTATAGTGGTGGCCATTCCCAGACTGATGCCTGGCTGAAGCTGCAAACATATATACACATACACTTTACAAATGACAGTAAAAATAGTTATCCAAATACATTTACTGTCCACTATTTTATTTATGTGAAATAGCCTTCCTTTAACAGGTCCTCTGATGATTTCTATGGTTTCAAACATTGATCAATCATTTTGCATCACTAGTTAACAATCTATTATTTCAACTAATGAGCTCACTAAAACAAATACACCCTCTTACCGTGTTCAGGCCGAGATTGCCTCTCATATTGCTTGGCGTGACCCCATACAGCACAGCGGCTCCAGCTAGAGCTCCCAAGCACTGAGCACAGATGTAGAAGAACGCACGAAACAGGGACATCTGGGAGCCAATCAGGTAGGCGAACGTGACAGCCGGGTTGATGTGGCCACCGCTGATGTGACCAATAGACTGGATGAGTGTGGCAGCTGCCAGACCGAAGCAGAAGGCAACTTGGAGCACGTTGTGTGGTCCGGTGGTCCAACGCAGAGCTGATCCCAGCCCGAAAAACACAAAGAACATGGTGCCATAGAACTCGGCAAACACAGCCCGCCAAAAAGACATGGACCGGAACTCCCACATGGCTGCGATAACTCAGAGGCGATGCCAACAAATGGAGGGATATGAGTGTGAGAGGGAGAAGAACCTCCAAAAGAACCAAAAAAAGCTTCTTGGATGTGTTCCCTTTGATTTTTTTGTGGATGGACACAAAAAACAAAAGCGTAGAAACTATGGAAAACCAGCCACCGCTGATGTGACCAATAGACTGGATGAGTGTGGCAGCTGCCAGACCGAAGCAGAAGGCAACTTGGAGCACGTTGTGTGGTCCGGTGGTCCAACGCAGAGCTGATCCCAGCCCGAAAAACACAAAGAACATGGTGCCATAGAACTCGGCAAACACAGCCCGCCAAAAAGACATGGACCGGAACTCCCACATGGCTGCGATAACTCAGAGGCGATGCCAACAAATGGAGGGATATGAGTGTGAGAGGGAGAAGAACCTCCAAAAGAACCAAAAAAAGCTTCTTGGATGTGTTCCCAATGTTTATGTGTTCTTGGATGGACACAAAAAACAAAAGCGTAGAAACTATGGAAAACCAAGCATAAATGCTTCTATAACCTACAGAGTTTGTGCCCTTCTTCACAAGTCTGAAATCATCTGTCCCGCTGATTTCTAACCTGCGGTTTTTGTCATAAAACCTTAAGTGTGACTCTGGCAGGTGATGTCTGCATCTATGTGAAAGTTCTAGATGATGTTTAAAAGAAGAACACGGATAGACAAATGATGAGCATGTCCTGCAGACATTCAACCTCTCTGATGGGAAAGCGAGAGGCCAGAGGGGTATTTATAACGACTGTGACCCTCAGTGACAATATAATCCTTTGGCAGAATTGTGGGAGGGGGCTGCAGACAATACAACAAATCAAATAAAAAAAAATTCTTAACCCTTTTCTGTCCCGCTTTTCATTTAGCTTATGGTTGTCAATCTAAAGCTTAAAATGCTGCCTGCAAATTTGCACTTGAGTGATATTAAAATGTTAAACATATCTTGGTGGGAAATGTAACTTTTAGAGTTTTTATAATCATACAACTTTTTGTTTAGCTAAAAACAACACTATCTTGTCTCAAACTATAGGAGAAAGGTCATAAAAGAGGCAAAAGGGGAAATAGCATATTAATCAAACGTGGGAACATGATGACATTTCAAAGAACAGCCTCAGAGGACAACTGTCCCATTCCAGCTCACGATGGGGAACAGTGTTTAGGAACTGCCTCTTCTCTAGCCCCGGCTACAACACCAGGGCCCCTAAAAGGGTCTAGTGCCCTTCACAGTGTGGATTAAGTGCTGACACAAAGAAACAATACCTCTAATACAACAGAAGGAGGCCTCACACGGATGTAACGTATTTTTGTGGATGGACACAAAATAGATAATTATGTCCACTCTATCGAGTCTAAGTGGCTGACAGGGAGGACATTTTGAGCTTCATTTAGCATATTAGTTGAAAACAAACTGTGTATAGCTAAATATTTAGTCTGGTTGCTGAAGAGAATTTGGTATATTTAAACTTACATATTTTGAAAATACTGTATTTTAATAACTTCTGGCGTATTTTATGCCGACAGGGTAGACATGTTAATGGCAAAGCAAGTAAGCAAATTCACACAAAGAAAATTTGTCATTTGAAAAGTCACCAATTTATTCACCTCAGCCGTTTAAATTCCCGCCACTAAAGAGACAAAAAATCTGTTGTCCTGATGCCACTAAAGGGGATGGCCTTTTCTTAAAGGGGCGGATTCCCCAATACGACAGGGTGGAAAACCATTCTAGGAAAAATGGACAAACTCTTCTTTTTTATTAAATAAAAACATAGTTTTTATTACCAAATGAACAATACACTCAAATTGAGTAATCTCTTATTTAACAAAATATGAATATAATTTTTTTTCCCTTTAAATGTTATGATTTGACAATATTCTACTATCATGCAATCATTCATATCATTCAATTTAATGAGCAGTGCATGGGACATAGCAAAATAACACACATCCTCTTACACAAAACAAAAAGAAATCTAGAAAATGTATCTAAAGAGACAAGTAATGCTTTTGTTATGAACATAAAAACTTAGCATAATATAACACACCCTTTCATAGTCATTTTTATGTTAAGTTATCATGGCAAATTAGTTATTTATATACAGGACACCAAAAGGCACCCTACAGTGATATTGACCCATGGGTCTTTTAGTAAAAACATTAAGAAAAATCTATAATAAATGAATGAAATGAAATATTAGATATGAGTGTGCATGCAAATGCATTAATGTACATAATACTATAATATATAATAGTAGGCAGATGCTTTTATCCAAAACAAAAAACATTTAATTTAAAACATAGAATGCAAAGTGTTAATTATTATTATTATCATCATCATTATTGTTATTATATATTTTTATAATTATATATTTTTTATATTTTTGTATATAAATACTACATATTTATAATTATTACTAAACATATAGATTATGTGGATTTTCCTAAGTTCTATGAAGATAAGAACACATTTTGGTTTTAGGTTTTAGGACAACTTTGATGAAAGGTTTTGATTTCAAATGTTGACTAGTGTATATAAACACACTACATATTTATAATTATTACTAAACATATAGATTATGTGGATTTTCCTAAGTTCTATGAAGATAAGAACACATTTTGGTTTTAGGACAACTTTGATGAAAGGTTTTGATTTCAAATGCTGACTAGTGTATATAAACACATATGCACAATGCATAAACATAACATAATATAATATAATATCAACCAAATGCATAAATGTAAATAGAATATAATTGGTGTTATATAATATTTACAATGTTGTCAATCAGTTGTTTGGATCTTGATATGTTAGATAGGTTAGTTACACCTTGTGCAGCTATTTCACTTTGCTTGTGGTCTGTAATATTTCTGTTATCTAGCATCCCACACAAATCACATACTGTATCATAATATGAAAACCATTTTCACTGTAATTGCATGAAAGAGTGACTTTTCCACAGCACACAATGAGGGTTTGCCGTAGCACCCCCTACCCTGGTCAGGACAGAGCCAGTTGGTTCGGTGCAGAACTGATTAGGCAGTTTTACATTGTGTGTGCTGGCAGGACTGCTGGCCTGAGGCCCAATAAAGCTCTGGAAAATCCATGTTTGGAGGCAGGAGGTGATAGTGGGGTGGGGGCAACACTGAACCTCTTCTCTGGGCAATCAGGGTGAGCTATAGACTACTGAAAGGATACTGCTTTGCTTGTGTTTTTTGCTCTTTCATTTGGGATAAACCAAAATGCTGGCAGCAACAGTTTCTGTTGCCTTCTTTGATTAAAATTTTTATGGTGCGGTTTGGCCATTGTGCCAAACGATAGGAGCTTTTATATGCAGTTAGTACTACTGCATAAGTGGTCCTTTGCAAAATAGCAGCGTGATAACTACTCTGAAGGATAAGCCATGGAAAATACACTCTAACTTTGTTTAGTCAAGAATTTTAGCTGTGAATTATCAGGCAAGTGTTAACTCTTTCTATACTAATTATAGGCATAAAAACAATCTCAGATAATAACAACATTGAATTGCAAGTCTTTCAGTAATAATCTTTTTGGCAATCATTCTTCACCCTAAATACGGCCATTTAAGGTGAAGTACCTCCTAAATAAACTAGGTATCAAATATCTGTCATTGCCTCTCTCCAGTTTCATTTTTGGCAAGATAACCGACCAGGCCAGATGCATTTGCTTTGGAAGCAGGTGTTTCTAGTTGAGTTACAAGTCATGCTAACTCTGCAAGGCCGACTCAGAGAGTAACCAACTTTGTATACGTCCATTGTGGGCAGGATTACTCCACACCACTGCCTGCTCATGTGTCCATAAGCCGCCTTTTGTCGCACAGGATAGCTTAAAACCGCTTGCGTGAGGATTTTTCTATTACCTCTAGCACAGACTGCTGACACCAACACAACCCTCACCGAGCTCCCATACCTCCACTGTTTTAAACAAATGCTAGCTCAGGGAACTCAACCCCCTAAAATATACCAGGCCTCACATGTCAACTGTTGATCAAAACATACAGTCCCTCCAGATACTATTCATCCATCCTTATGACTCCACCTGCTGTATTAAGTAGCTGTATCATCGAAGCACCTGGTTTATTGCTGCTTTTGAAGCTTCCAAGACATCATATCCTCAGAAAAACAATCAATCTGGTTTAAAAAAGGGCAGTTCTCTAAGGAACTTACTAAACTTTTTGAGGGGCCCCTTGTTCTGGATTCTAGTTTGCTCAGTGGAACCCTTACCTTTCTGCATTAGAATTGTCCAATCAGAACCCAGACCTCAAACCATCAGGATGATCTCTAGATCTGTGTCTGGACTCCTCACACCTAAAGTGGCTGAACAAAATGAGTACATTTGATGAAAAAGTACTTTTTTCATTCTGGGATGAATATTGAATATGTGGTGAATGTTTTCAATATGAGCAAAACCTTAAAGAACTCTATGGGGTTAAATGTGACTTAGGGTTTTTTGTACAATCTAGTTAAACCATGTTAACCACAATTTAACCATGGTTTTGCTACACTTTGTTACACTATGGTATTTGTTGTAAAATTATGGTTATACAAATGGTAGTCAATACGCCAAAAAAACATGGTTACTACACTTTTACATTATAAAACCATGGCTAATTTTCGTAAGGAATTCTTCTAGCAGTTTGAAAAGTGATTCTTTCAATCGCACAAACCTTAAGTTAGCATATAAGTTATTGTGCTGAAGCTAGTATCCTTTCCAAAGAGGCATTTAACTGACTTTTAGCTTTTAAGCATACGTTGTCTCGTCGAATGTGGTATCACTTCTCGAAAACTCAAAGTGCAAATTCATTCTTGCCAGGCATGTTTAGCAGAAATGGAACTACAGCGCTTCTTGTGGCGGAAGGACTGTTCTTCTCTTTACATGAGAAAGGACCAAATGTTCCGGAATTTCTGCAGCCTGTTGTTGTTTATTTTAGTTACGCACCGGCAGACGTTGTCATGTCATCGATTTGATAAATCTATATTTCATAATGCAATATCAATTAACAGCGTTCACGATCAATCTCATATATAGAATTGGGTCAATTATGCATGCATTATGTGAAACTGGAAGTAAATACATATTGTAAAATAGAAAAGCTGGGTAAGAATTTTTAATTGTAATTACATTTTAACCAAGAGTAGAAGAGGTTAACATTCAAAAATAAATAAATCCGCTTCCAATAATTTCATAAACATAAATATTGTCTGAAATAACAGGCACTACTGCAAATGATCCTTGATTCAGATGTACAAATAAAGGACGAAGAATTCAGTGTTGTTTAGAGACGGTTTATTAGAAATATGTAGACAAAAACCTCACTGCGTTTAACAAACTGAAATTTATAAACCTGAATTGACAGGTCACAACATTGTTTTCATCTTTTAGTCACACCTGCATTGATATTACGAGTGCAAACACAAATTGGTCATCTATTGAGAAGTTAACCTTTGTTCTGTACAGCGGTGAGGCATATGCTTTTTTTAACCACTTCTCTTTACATATATGGAAGAAACCAGTGTACAATTGCCTGCTACACATCCAAGTGTGATACAAAACAACAAATACTAACTGCCAACCTGAAATCATTTCATAAAGCAGCGTGTACAGACAGGACTATGTACTTTGAACATGTTGGATTAACAAATAAACCTATCTGAGGGGCAAAACTGCAGCTAAAACACATAAAACAAGGGCTTACCAATGAATCAGTGCAAGGGCTTTGAATATGCCATTCTGATTTCAAATGCAGCACTAATGAAAATCAAATGTCTTGGCTGGCATTTGCAATGAAGCAGCATGTGTCAATGCTTCCTTCGCTCACACACAAGGAAATCGGAACCTCAACACCAACAAACAAAATAACAATTAAATCAAATTTACAGTTTGAATGAGAGGGAGAAGGCAGAATATGTCGATAAAGTCATTCATGTCCTTTTTCCATTACTACAAATTACAATGTATACGTTACATGGTGCAATAACCCCACTGACATTGAGGAAAAAGCTCAAGACTGTAAAAGCCACTGAGTAAACGGACCATAAATGGTGTCCACAATACATCATTGAGAGCTCGTAATTGTCCATGCAAAACAGAAAAGTAAAGAATGTATTGTCGAGGGGCTGACGTTGCCATCAACACAACAGTAAAAATGAATCCCTTGTGACTTTCTGCAGAAAGACCTTGAAAAACAGTTTCAAAAACGATGCCGTTTTTAAATGGCTACCAACTCAAATTTAGTCTCTCTCTTCATTTAAGTGTTAAGTGAAAATTCTTGCTCTCTTCTCCATGACGGTTTGCTCTTCCTTTACTCAAGGTCTGGCATTTCTGGGGGGGGGGGTGTACAGTACATAAATGAAAGGATAAATAAATGTTTTCATATTTTAATTACATTAATTTTTAATAAACAAATAAACGGGTCAATGTTTTTTTTTTTTAAGAATACTGTTCATTAATACCATATAAAATTATAACAGCTAACATATATTGTTCATATGTACTGATTTTCAAAATAATACAATGGACAAAAACATCACACAGAGGAGGACAGATAATTTAAGAAAACGTACTTTCATCATCACTATCTGCAGATTCCTCCTGGAATGAGATAAAAAACATTTTAGCATAGCATTTATCAGTCTATTAACTAATAAATAACTAATGAATAAAAAAAATTGTAAAATAATGGGATGCCTAATGAGCTGATAATATGGCAAAAATAACTATAATCTTTTGGCCAATTTAACAACATTATTCTCTCACATCATCTGCACCATCCACATCTGGTAGGTCATCTTCCCCACCCATGCTGTTCATCATCTTTAAGAAAAAAATTAAAAACAATCTGAGTATTATTTATTTTCCTTTTACAAAATTCAAAGAATATCTATATTATTAATAGTTATATATATATATATATATATATATATAGACAAGAACCTCTGAAAAACGGTCAAAACTGGACAAGTCTTCATCGGAGTCATCCTCCCAGTCCTTCCAGTTATTGAAGTCAACACTGAGCCAATTAAGCTGTACATTGAGAAGCATTACTTAACATGTTATCTTATTACTAAATTAAGTTACATTTGAATGATTTAAACAGAACAAACACTGACCTTTGCTTTTTCTTTTGTTAACCTTGGCCAAGACCTGCCAGGTTCTGCTTTTCTTAGACAGCAAAAAACAGACCTGTCTGTGCGTTTGTGTTTAGACTCCTGTAAAAGAATAACAGCGTTCTCTGTAACGCACAATAATAAATGAGCCATGCCGATTGAGCTCTTACAACCTGAATTAGAACAGAAACCATCAGGTGGTGCACTTACATTTGGGTCAATGGACTCAAATAGTTCTACTTCATTATGGTGTTTCATGTTATCTGTTCCTCCAACACAACTAAAGCAAGAAATATAGCATATTACAAGTCAGAAAGAACTACTATAGTTCTATTGCATTTTAAGAGTCAAGCTTAACATTATAGCATCAAACACTTCAATAATGCACATATTAAACATTAGTTCATGGCAGTACACTGAATAATTATATTTTGCAATGACAATTTAATAACGACTGACTTTTGCAGTGGAGTATAAACACTTTTAACAATGATTGAAATAAAACGTACCTGAAGTCAAGCTTTGTTTTGTCAAATTTAACTTGGACATCTTTGCTGTCTTCTATACAGAACTCAATGAAGACAGCCTCCCGTCTGTCATACCACTTGGCAGTTGCTGGCTGCCTGCAAAATGAATGGAATTAAAATATTAAAAACATCTGGAATTAAAATATATTTGAAAAAAAAAAACATGCAGAACTTCAATAAAAGATCAAACTAGACTTCAATATGACACATAAATAAATGCATTTAGTTTTAATGGGGTACATACATGGCGAACTAAGCAACCAGCTACGTGCATTTGATAAAAGGCAAACTCCAAACTGAAAGTGCAGTTCTAAATTAAGATGTGCGAGCTGGAGGCCTTGGTGGGGGTGGAGCAACAATGATGTTACCGTGGCAACCAGTTTGTATCGATTGGCAGGTTCATGCATGGCCTCTTCCAGAGCATGTGAGCGGAGCGGAGTGGTAATATTTCCTTAAAGGGGTCCTATTATGCTTTTTTACAAAGTCTTGATTTTGTTTTGGGGTGTACTACAACAGGCTCTCATACTAGGTTGTTCGAAAAACACATTATTTTTCACATATTTTACATTATTACAACACCTTTCTCCCAAGTCTGGCATGAACGGCTTGAATAGTTCCTGTATCAAATGAAGGCCCGCCTTCTGAAATATGAAATGTGCTGTGATTGGTTAGCTGGGCCAGTGTGTGCTGTGATTGGCAGCACTCGGCGCCTGGTGGGGAAATGTCATGCCCCTTACCATAGCCGCCTGCGAGCTTCAGTGTAAATATTGCTCAATATCAGATCAATTTGAGAGTGATTTAAACCCGGATGATTGTAACCACTCTAAGTTCGTCTGCCTTGGGAAAGCTAGCGTGTCTCCGTCATAGTGATAAAACTCGCTGCCTTCTCTAGTGCAGCTCAACCAGGTCTCGTCCCATTCGTCGATATTTGTGATATCAGAAATCCCGGAAAATATGCTTTTTAGTCCAAACGAGTCGCTCGTTGTAGTTTTTGAAAAGTGACTTCTGTCAAATAAAATATCTCCTTTTGAAGTGGACTTTGAGCTTTGTAACTTTGCAGATCTTTATTATGCTCAAACAGCAACATTACAGACTAACTAAAGTTGAAAAAGTGAAAAAGCATAATAGGACCCCTTTAAGATTCCGCTCCGCTCGCTCAATACGCTCAGCGCCGCTTGCTCAACCCAGAATGCCATTTGGTGATTTGCTTGTTCGAGATCGAAAATCTGTAGAGATCGAGAATAGTAGAGCAGTTATGGAGTTCCGATATTGTTTCAACGAAGTTGCAAGCCTTATACATAAATGTAAAGTAAAAATCAAAGTTAAGAATGAGCAGGGAGAAGAAACTGAGAGGGAGTGCGGGGAGACTGTTAAAGTTAGTACAGGTTCATATTGATTACAGAAAGCACAAAGATGTGCTACGCAAACATTGGTGCAGCAAAAGGTGAACTACTTACATACCATAATAAATGAATAAACAGGTAGACTAAGGTTATATTCGGTTGTACGGAGCCCCGATCATGACATGCAGACAAAATCACGGCCACGAATTTAGAATAGGCTAGTTCTCTTTTATGCTAGGACTACATTATGGCCACGAATTAAGAATACATTTTTTCGTTTAGTCTAAATTATGGCCACGAATTAAGTATTCGCTCTCTTGTTTTTACTTATTAAAATCATTATTGCTTAAAATTAATAAATAATAATAAATTAATTTAAAAAAAATTTTTTAAACCTGCTGACGTCGCAGAAACGAATTGTTAATTTGAATTATATTTGGAGCTCCATAGTTATTAAATAATCTCAGTTAAACTGTAGACCTAAGCTAACACAGCTGTATATAGGCCTAAATACAGAACTACAGAGTAAGTTACAGAAGATATTAGCCTACACCACCACTTAGGCCTATTAAAATATTATAAAAAAAAAATTAAAAACTGACCCGAACCAATTGGTAGACCTACAGAATGTAGGCTAGATATAGGCAGCAGTAATTTATTATCTAATACAGGGGTGGCGAACGTCAGTCCTGGCGAGCCGCAGCCCTGCAGTTTTGCTTCAACCCTAATCAAACACACCTGAACAAGCTAATCAAGGTCTGAACGGTTATTAGGAAGCTACAGGCAGGTGAGTTTTAATTAGGGTTAGAGCTGAACTCTGCAGGGCTGCGGTTCTCCAGGACCGGAGTTCGCCACCGCTGATCTAATATAATGCACGCAAATTTGTTCTTAACAGAACAGAGCGGGATCTGAGTGGGAATTGGTTTACGGCGAGCATGAGCGGAATATTAACGGAGCGCTTGCTTGGGCGGTTAGAGCGACTCATTAAAAACATTCATGAATATATTTATATATAAGTATATACTATAAAATTAAAATACATTTATTTTAAATGTATAGCATATTTTTTAATAAGGCAACAACATATGATAGATACGATAGGACAAAACAAATACAGTGCGGCACGAACTGTTTTTATACAGTCTATGTGCACGAAGCGCTTACAATGTGCGCACAGTAAGAAGATAAATTCCTTTTTGCAAAATCATAGACATGTATTTACAAATCAAGTATAATGGGAACACAGAATGATCTTGGAGAGATCTTTACCGAGCTGACTGCTGTAACCGAACGCGACCAGGGTTTAAACTTTAAAGGCTGAACGAATGAGTGACAGCCACAGCGGAGAAAAGAGTTTGTGTGAACTTTAATGTAAGGACTTAAATATTCATATGTAGCTCACATTAAGCTATCGTCTCGGATTTGGATCAGCTCTCTCTGACTGATACCCGATCCGAGAAAAATGGCACTATCGGAGCCGATACCCGATATGAATACTTAGGGCTTCACCACTATAATCCTCACAATGGCAGAACCAAGCCCTAGCAATAAGGAAGTGATTGAGTAATAATTAATATTCAATCTTGTACTGCATTTTAAATGCATGACCTCTGGCTAAGGATTGTAGGGATAGGCTAGCAGTAGCCACAAGCCCCAACATACTTGACTACTAGTGTAATACCTGTCACACCTAGGACATAAACTACCTTCAAAGGTAAGATATTCATGTTTTTGAAAGGAGTCGGTTTACGGCGAGCATGAGCGGAATATTAACGGAGCGCTTGCTTGGGCGGTTAGAGCGACTGAATGGAGCACACGTCCATAGAGTGGAAAACGTAGCGCTGGCCTCTTCGCAATCTACTTAGGGCTAGGGATGCTCCACCAGGGTTTAAACTTTAAAGGCTGAACGAATGAGTGACAGCCACAGCGGAGAAAAGAGTTTGTGTGAACTTTAATGTAAGGACTTAAATATTCATATGTAGCTCACATTAAGCTATCGTATGGCTTCAGAAGTAACAGAATAATTCGCACAATCGGGGAGAAAAAAATAAAATAAAAAAATCTCGGATTTGGACAGCCACAGCGGAGAAAAGAGTTTGTGTGAACTTTAATGTAAGGACTTAAATATTCATATGTAGCTCACATTAAGCTATCGTCTCGGATTTGGATCAGCTCTCTCTGACTGATACCCGATCCGAGAAAAATGGCACTATCGGAGCCGATACCCGATATGAATACTTAGGGCTTCACCACTATAATCCTCACAATGGCAGAACCAAGCCCTAGCAATAAGGAAGTGATTGAGTAATAATTAATATTCAATCTTGTACTGCATTTTAAATGCATGACCTCTGGCTAAGGATTGTAGGGATAGGCTAGCAGTAGCCACAAGCCCCAACATACTTGACTACTAGTGTAATACCTGTCACACCTAGGACATAAACTACCTTCAAAGGTAAGATATTCATGTTTTTGAAAGGAGTCTCTTATGCTCACCAAGGCTACATTTATTTGATCAAAAGTACAGTAAAACAGTAATATTGTGAAATATTATTAGTATTTAAAATAACTGTTTTCATTTTATTATTATTTTTTAAATGCAATTTATTCCTGTTATGGCAAAGCTGATTTTTCAGCAGCCATTACTCCAGTCTTCAGTGTCACGTGATCATACAGAAATAATTCTAATATTCCGATTTGCTGTTCAAGAAACATTTCTTATTATTATTTGTGTTGGAACAAAAGCTGTGCTGCTAGTGGAAACCCTTATGCATTTTATGCATAACTCTTTGATGAATACAAATTTTGATTATTTGAAATATCTATTAGAATATTATGTCTTTACAGTAACTTTCTATCAGTTTCATGCATCCTTGTGCAATAAAGTGATTCATTTAAAAAAAAAATTTTTTTTGAATGTAATGTATATTTCCTGCAAATAAGTGCAATTTAACTTAAGGAGAGATAAATGGTGGTAAATGTAATCATACACCAATTAATATGGCAAGCTGTTGCAATGCATGTTTGGTTTAGATTTGCTGTATTACTGGCCATGTTGAAATTCTAATCATCATGATTAATTCCTGCTGCAATCTTAAACCAAGTTACATCAGCAAATTTAAGTTGGACTAAGATGGTCTCTCTGGCTAGCCAAGCTGATGCTCAGGTGGTTTATCCTGAAGGCTGGGTGCTCACCCAGTATGATGAACATTACCCCAAACCCTTTTAAAACCATCCAACATACCAGCCTGACTAGCTGTGTGTACATTAATGAGGAAAAAATTAACTTAAATGATTTTAGCAAATGGCTGCAATATAACAAAGAGTGAAACATTTAAGGGGGTCTGAATACTTTCCGTACCCACTGTATATACTATAAAATAAAAATACATTTCTTTTAAATGTATAGCATATTTTTTAATAAGGCAACAACATATGATAGATACGATAGGACAAAACAAATACAGTGCGGCACGAACTGTTTTTATACAGTCTATGTGCACGAAGCGCTTACAATGTGCGCACAGTAAGAAGATAAATTCCTTTTTGCAAAATCATAGACATGTATTTACAAATCAAGTATAATGGGAACACAGAATGATCTTGGAGAGATCTTTACCGAGCTGACTGCTGTAACCGAACGCGACCAGGGTTTAAACTTTAAAGGCTGAACGAATGAGTGACAGCCACAGCGGAGAAAAGAGTTTGTGTGAACTTTAATGTAAGGACTTAAATATTCATATGTAGCTCACATTAAGCTATCGTATGGCTTCAGAAGTAACAGAATAATTCGCACAATCGGGGAGAAAAAAATAAAATAAAAAAATCTCGGATTTGGATCAGCTCTCTCTGACCGATACCCGATCCGAGAAAAATGGCACTATCGGAGCCGATACCCGATATGAATATCGGCTCGGCGCATCCCTACTTAGGGCTTCACCACTATAATCCTCACAATGGCAGAACCAAGCCCTAGCAATAAGGAAGTGATTGTGTAATAATTAATATTCAATCTTGTACTGCATTTTAAATGCATGACCTCTGGCTAAGGATTGTAGGGATAGGCTAGCAGTAGCCACAAGCCCCAACATACTTGACTACTAGTGTAATACCTGTCACACCTAGGACATAAACTACCTTCAAAGGTAAGATATTCATGTTTTTGAAAGGAGTCTCTTATGCTCACCAAGGCTACATTTATTTGATCAAAAGTACAGTAAAACAGTAATATTGTGAAATATTATTAGTATTTAATAACTGTTTTCATTCTATTATTATTTTTTAAATGCAATTTATTCCTGTTATGGCAAAGCTGATTTTTCAGCAGCCATTACTCCAGTCTTCAGTGTCACGTGATCATACAGAAATAATTCTAATATTCCGATTTGCTGTTCAAGAAACATTTCTTATTATTATTTGTGTTGGAACAAAAGCTGTGCTGCTAGTGGAAACCCTTATGCATTTTATGCAGAACTCTTTGATGAATACAAATTTTGATTATTTGAAATATCTATTAGAATATTATGTCTTTACAGTAACTTTCTATCAGTTTCATGCATCCTTGTGCAATAAAGTGATTCATTTAAAAAAAAAATTTTTTTTGAATGTAATGTATATTTCCTGCAAATAAGTGCAATTTAACTTAAGGAGAGATAAATGGTGGTAAATGTAATCATACACCAATTAATATGGCAAGCTGTTGCAATGCATGTTTGGTTTAGATTTGCTGTATTACTGGCCATGTTGAAATTCTAATCATCATGATTAATTCCTGCTGCAATCTTAAACCAAGTTACATCAGCAAATTTAAGTTGGACTAAGATGGTCTCTCTGGCTAGCCAAGCTGATGCTCAGGTGGTTTATCCTGAAGGCTGGGTGCTCACCCAGTATGATGAACATTACCCCAAACCCTTTTAAAACCATCCAACATACCAGCCTGACTAGGCCTGGACAGCAAACGAAGACTCTTCAGCTGAACAACTGGCCACCAGCTTGGAAGACTAGCATAATCAGGTTTTAAGACCACCTTAAACCAGCAAACCAACTTAGGCTGGATTAAGCATGTGTATTTATTTTTCCAGCAGGGAACACCCTGCATGTCCTATAGGCTTATTCAAGGTCGTAAATATTGCTAGTACATTTTACGGTAATGCAGATGAAAGCTTAAATAAAAAGAATTATGTAAGTTAATAGTAAACTGAGCAGCAGCTCTGATGTTAGCTGTGCAGTAACTACAGGCCTAGACTATCTAACTGCTAACCAGCTAACGTTAGCTAAGCTCTGCTGTGGGAACCATGTGCGCTATTTTCACCACCGATTACGATTTTTTTTCTATACAATTTGAAACGGTCTTCCCGAGAATGACTAGTATTCTCCTTAATGTCCATATCTAATAACAGCCGTATGTGAGAAAATCTGTTTGCCTGATAGAGGTTATGAACACACTTGCTAACTAGCTAATAAGTTAGTGCATCCTTATCACTGCCGGCAAACTCACATGTCGATATCTTCTTTCGGTTTTCACCTAAATCTGCGTTGCCACTCACGTCCTCTCGCCTGCGGTAGTGTTTGGAAACTGTGCTGTCAGATCAAAGCGAATGCATAAAGTCGGAAGCTAGCTGTTTATGCTCCGCTCTGTCAACCTGCACAGGATCCGCGCGAGTCTACTCACTGGCGCCGCGCGCAATGACGCAGCATCTCAACGTTTCTAGCGACTTCTGCTGCGCGCGCCCTGGGCAAACGCGTCTCCATAGTAACGCAAAGCTCGCTCCGCCTCGACTGTTGCAGGATGTCAGCTGATGCAGGAGTCATACGCATTTATAATAGGATATCTTTTCTTTTCGTTACTTTTCTCTTATCTAGAGTCGAAATTAAACTTTATTGTCAAGTTTCTCAACAATTACAATATGGCCAAAGCGTAGTACTGAAAATAAATAAAGCGAAGTAAATAAATACATTTATTGATTGAAGACAAAAGGAAGAAATAATAATAATAATAAATGCCAGTAATGTTAAAGTGATAATTGCAAATTATATAATTCAATTAATCTTTTTTTTTTGAATGTAATGTATATTTCCTGCAAATAAGTGCAATTTAACTTAAGGAGAGATAAATGGTGGTAAATGTAATCATACACCAATTAATATGGCAAGCTGTTGCAATGCATGTTTGGTTTAGATTTGCTGTATTACTGGCCATGTTGAAATTCTAATCATCATGATTAATTCCTGCTGCAATCTTAAACCAAGTTACATCAGCAAATTTAAGTTGGACTAAGATGGTCTCTCTGGCTAGCCAAGCTGATGCTCAGGTGGTTTATCCTGAAGGCTGGGTGCTCACCCAGTATGATGAACATTACCCCAAACCCTTTTAAAACCATCCAACATACCAGCCTGACTAGGCCTGGACAGCAAACGAAGACTCTTCAGCTGAACAACTGGCCACCAGCTTGGAAGACTAGCATAATCAGGTTTTAAGACCACCTTAAACCAGCAAACCAACTTAGGCTGGATTAAGCATGTGTATTTATTTTTCCAGCAGGGAACACCCTGCATGTCCTATAGGCTTATTCAAGGTCGTAAATATTGCTAGTACATTTTACGGTAATGCAGATGAAAGCTTAAATAAAAAGAATTATGTAAGTTAATAGTAAACTGAGCAGCAGCTCTGATGTTAGCTGTGCAGTAACTACAGGCCTAGACTATCTAACTGCTAACCAGCTAACGTTAGCTAAGCTCTGCTGTGGGAACCATGTGCGCTATTTTCACCACCGATTACGATTTTTTTTCTATACAATTTGAAACGGTCTTCCCGAGAATGACTAGTATTCTCCTTAATGTCCATATCTAATAACAGCCGTATGTGAGAAAATCTGTTTGCCTGATAGAGGTTATGAACACACTTGCTAACTAGCTAATAAGTTAGTGCATCCTTATCACTGCCGGCAAACTCACATGTCGATATCTTCTTTCGGTTTTCACCTAAATCTGCGTTGCCACTCACGTCCTCTCGCCTGCGGTAGTGTTTGGAAACTGTGCTGTCAGATCAAAGCGAATGCATAAAGTCGGAAGCTAGCTGTTTATGCTCCGCTCTGTCAACCTGCACAGGATCCGCGCGAGTCTACTCACTGGCGCCGCGCGCAATGACGCAGCATCTCAACGTTTCTAGCGACTTCTGCTGCGCGCGCCCTGGGCAAACGCGTCTCCATAGTAACGCAAAGCTCGCTCCGCCTCGACTGTTGCAGGATGTCAGCTGATGCAGGAGTCATACGCATTTATAATAGGATATCTTTTCTTTTCGTTACTTTTCTCTTATCTAGAGTCGAAATTAAACTTTATTGTCAAGTTTCTCAACAATTACAATATGGCCAAAGCGTAGTACTGAAAATAAATAAAGCGAAGTAAATAAATACATTTATTGATTGAAGACAAAAGGAAGAAATAATAATAATAATAAATGCCAGTAATGTTAAAGTGATAATTGCAAATTATATAATTCAATTAATCTATCTATCTAAAGTATTTTATTGGCGTGATGATTTGCACACAATATTGCCAAAGCATCAATACACAAAAAGTGTCATCAAAATAAATTCAAATAAATAATAATAATAATAATAATAGACAGCAAAGTTAATAAAGTGATAATTGCAAATTCTTATCAATTTAAAATATCTATCTCTCCCGTTAATATAACCTCCCGAGAACCAGAAATAAAAAGCTTTGTGAATTTAGTATTTTTTCATGTCATTACATTGTTTAGAGCAGAAGAAAAAAATGGTAAAATAACATTTTTGAAAATTTTTATTTTATTCATAAGTTATGCTATGTTCTCTGTAGAGGACACCAGGACTCAGTTTTTCTAAAAATAAAATGACAAGAGTAGACATGAAAAGGCAAAAACAATGGGAATTTTTTTTAAATCACCAATCAATTTTTAGGTTTCAGGATTTTTTTTTTCCAAGGATGGTTCTCAACTATGTTATAAAATATATAACAAAACCATTTTTCTTTATGCAATATGTGTGTAAAAATTCCATAAACTGGTTTTCCCATTAAGCACAATGTTATCTATACACTGCATTTAATTTGCATATTAAAGTGCTGTTGGGACAGCATGTTGAAAAAAGAAGTGTAATGATGGGAGTAGTAATTGGCCAGATTTTCATAATAATATCTAATATTTCATAAGAATATTGATATGTAATTTGTTTTCCTATTCAATTATTTTGTCTCCCAAAATGTGTAATAAACATGCTTTCAGTCCTGGTGTCCTCTACAGTGCACATGTATTAAATGATGTCCTGTTTCATAACAGAAGCTCATATTTTGATTTGAAACGCCATAACATTTTCCTGAGATGTTATGACAAACAATTGGAAAATTAATCAGATTTAAATTATAATTACAAAATATTATCATATTTCCATAAGGATGTACAATTTTATCACTCAATTAATGTCAGCCATTTTTAAAAACCAAGGCGAGAGAGTGGTGATGGTGAAACATCCAGTCATTTGGTATCTCTGGAAAGCCCTGAATGTGCTCTGTACAGTAGTGACGGGAAGTTCGGATCATTTTACCGACTCGGACCTCGAGTCTCGTTCAGCAAAATGAACGAATCTTTTTTCGAGTCATTTCGTTCATTTTAGCAAAATATAATTAAAATGTTACGTGTTACTTCCCTAACACGTCTATTACTTACGCAAAACAAACAATAGTCACACTACAAACAATACAAAACTGCTATAAGAAACAGAAAAGATGAATTCATTGTTTACCTGGGTCTTCAGTCTATGATTAGCTCAGCTCACCTCTTATCTTTACAAGTCTTCGGGTTTGGGCTTATGGCTCTGTCACGTGATGAATGAACGACTCAAACCCGAAGACTCGAAACAGGTGAACTACTTGACTAATTCCAGTACAGACCTATAGCATGTTGCGCATGCGCGACTGAACGAATCACTCCCCGAGACGACTCGTTCCTCCCGAGTCACATTAAAGATTCGTTCGAAATGAACGAATCGTTCAAGAATGACCCAACACTACATCCAGATTTAAAACTGTGACATGTGAGGTCTCAGAGAAATTCACTCAAACATAATGTCCACTACAGAGGCAAAAACTCCATAGCTGGGTCTCAGGAGGATATACAGACGGGGTTAATAAGAAAAAACACAAAAGTTGTTTGATGATGTGGTGTTAAAAGAGCGCCACACAGTGGTCACATCCCGTAATCTCTAGAATGACGAACTTCCTGCCTACATGATCTTGTTTTCAGGGGATTTTTCAGAGTAATTACTAAAAGCGAACTACGTGATAACGAAATATGACATAGAGACGTCGAGTTAGTGTCGCGGAGGAGCTCAAGGCGAAACAGTTTCGTCGTGACAGTCAACGATGTTCTTTGCATGCTTGTTGTCTTCCTGTGGCCAAGGACGGGGAACTGGAAACCCACAAAGAGACTGAGCTGGTGTGTTGATCGAGCAAAGTGTCACCCGAACTTAAATAGGATATCCCAAGCATTAATTCGCCAGGATTGTCGTAGTTTTAAGGCACGTTCAATGCCGCGGTCGTCTGTTGACTTCTTCGTCGAGTGGAAGCAGGCATTCTCCAGTTGCAGTAGGTTTCCTTTACATTCATCTCTTCCGGCAAAGTCACTACAGAAGGTGAATTCATTTATTACACGAGCACAATAGGCTTCATCCCAATGTGTTTTTACATTATTGTTATTCTTATTTAGCAAATGCTTAGGTTAAGGCAACTGCCATCATTTTCTTCATCTGTCAGGTTGCTGGACAATCCGCAAAATAAACAATGTCTTGATCTAACTTGTATATTTATTTTCTCTAAAACAGGGAAATAGGCCTGTTACTGCAATTAACGAGAATTTATGGGATCACAAGGTAATTTAGCTTCAATAATGTAATCACTGCATAATGTAATGAGCAGGTAGAGCTACACAGAACGATCCTTTGTTTATACAGTGAACACATTTCAGAGCAGCTGATGTGATTCTGCACAGCTGCCTGTTGGTGTTGAACGAGCAATACTCCGCACAGCCTATTCATGCAAGAAACTTCATTGTCTAGAATATTCCACCCTTCTGCTGCACAGCCACAAAGCTATTGGATTGTGAAAGGGTAAATTATATGATGATGATGATTAAACCTAATAATATAATCCTTTTTATAAGAGATTAAGCGCAAAGAGCTCGTTAGATCTGGCTGAGAAGTATTTGCATGCCACCCTGCAGCTCTGGTCAGGTGTGAAGTATTGTGAATTTATGCAGGGTTGATTCATTACACGTGTATTATTCATCATATGTTTCTCCTGACAAGAAAAGGGTGAATTGATAACAAGCGCAAGATAATATTTAATCTCAAAAATTGTAATAAAGTAAATAGGTTTACCATTACTGTAACTGGTTAGTTAATATGACACCAATCAGTCACAGCAGTGTCCTGTAGTGTGACATGCTATATTTAATCTAAAACGAGTTTAATCAGCATTTTAAATCATTTTTTGTATAATTACTACCCTGTTCTTAAGACTTCATATTAATTGAGAAACTACATAAAATGATTTAAAAGTGAATAAGTAGAAACTAAATAAATGAAGATCGATATGACAAATATTCGATTTTTTAAAAAATGTCATTTATATTTTTTTAACTATTATTATATACTCCCAGTCAAAAGTTTAAAATAAGTATAATAACTGTTTTCTTTTAGCATCATTACTCAAGTCACATTCTAATATTCTGATTTGCTGCTTAAAAAAACATTTATTATTGTTATTAATATTATGTTGAAAACTGCTGAGTAGAATTTTTTCAGGTTTCTTTGATGACTAGAAAGTTCAGAAGAACAGCATTTATCTGAAAGAAATCTTTTGTAACATTATAAATGTCTTTATCAACACTTTTGATCAATTTAAACTAACCTTGCTAATTTCTATTAATGCTGATTTGATTCTTTCTGTTCATCAAAGAATCCTGAAAAAATGTACTCAACTGTTTTAAATATTGATAATAAAAAAAAAGTTTCTTGAACAGTAAATCAGCATATTAGAATGATTTCTGAAGGATCATGTGACACTGAAGACTGGAGTAATGATGCTGAAAATTCAGCTTTGATCACAGGAATAAATTACATTTTAAAGTATACTCAAATAGAAATCAGTTATTTTAAATAGTAAAAATATTTCACAGTATAACTGCTTTTGCTGTATCTTGGATCAAATAAATGGGACCTTGCTGAGCAAAAAAATAATTCTTTAAAAAAACATTAAAAATCGTACTGTTCAAAAACTTTTGACTGGTAGTGTATATGATTATTATTATATTTATTTAGCTATATATAATTTTTATCATTTTCTTTGTATAATTATTATGCTGTTCTTAAGACTGCATAAAACTATTTAAAAAGATTTAAAAAAGCTAAATGTATTTATTTATTTAAAATGGTAAACATCTGAGGAAATAATCAGTCACCTAAAATATACACTTTTCTTCAAAAAAAAAGATAGATCGATAGATAGATAGATAGATAAATTGATTGATTGATTGATAGACAAATTTAGATGATATATAATGTTTTTAATAAAAAATATTTTATTTACTTTTTACACTCTTTGTGTGTTTTTAACTGAAAAAAATTCAAGTAACTAATTTTATTTTTAGGTTTGGTATAGTGTCAAATGTAGCATATTTACCACAAGAAAATAAGCAAAATACTAAGTTATTGCACCCTTTTTTAATGTTCATGGTGGCCTCATGTTGACTCTTGCAAACGGATCTCTTTTTCCTCACAGTTTCATCTGATGAGATGAGCGTGCGAGCGGGGCAGGGCAGTGACGAGGTGCTGGTGTCGCAGGCGGTGTGGGATTACCTTGCAGCCGCAGGACGACCCTGGTTGGTCGACTTCAAGGACAAGCAGGGACTGAGTGCGGACATCATCCGGCGCGGGGAGCGTGGTGGCTGCTGTGCCGTGCGGCTCTCCCCGGTGGAGGGCAGCAGCAGGGCCAGAACTGGAATGATGGAGGGGCGGGTTTCTCCTGTTACGCGGAAAGCTTTCATAGACTTATGCCGTTGTGCCCGGAAAGAGATGACCAAACAAGAAGCGCCTCCTAAAAGGAAACGTTCCCTGTTACCATGCATGACGGCAATGGAACCCGACGGGGAAGGGAGCTTGTTGCCTCCGC